TATAAGTATATTCTATCCACCATACAATTTTCAAAAAATTTCAACTTAAGTTGAACTATTTATAGGCATATGCAATTTTCGATCATTATTAGTTTTTTTAAATTAATATTAATCAAAATTTATTTGTTGGGACTGTACGCTATAAACACAGTAGATACGTAATGTTGAGTACCTATATTTATTTGACATTTGTAAGTTGTAGCACAATAAAACTGTAACATTAAACGAAAATAATATGATTTTTGTTGTGATGAACTACGAATTAATTGAACACAAAATATAAAATTGATCAGGAGCTTGTAAGCTTGTTGTCAACACGTGGATACGTCATATTACTATTTACTATATTAGACCAACGAAATATAGGTGTGTATACACTCGCAAATAGTTGCACATAGTATCAACTACAGTTAACTTTAGAAGTATTGTTTAAGATCTCAACTGAATTAAAAATATTATTTTAAATGCTTGTTGACGCTTCTCAACGTGCGGTTATAGGTRCTCCAGATGATGACGCCTCTGTCTCATGTAATCTTATAGACTTACAATACTGTATTCACGTAACTATGTATATATTATAAATGTTACGATCCAGGTGGACAAATTAACCATTGTGTATTACAATGTCTAAAATATTTTGGATAAGTAAATAATACATATTTAATTTTAATTCCTTAATAGACTAATTATTTCAATGCAATGCTGACTAGTGTGAACAGTGTGAATATTAGAGTTATTTAGAATGCTATATACATATTTTATAATTATTAAAGAAGAAAATTAAGATAATTACAACTCTGAGAATATTGTAATATTGTCTTAAACTCTAGAAAACTTTCTATTCACACAAAAAGAAATGAATCTGTACATAATTTATAATTACAAGTAAATGAAATGAAATCTATCATCGAAAAAAATTTTTGTGAAGGAAACATTTAAGACGTATATAGAGCTCGAAACGACTTACGATCAATTCTAGCAGTAATTACCTATGTTAGGTATWATAAGCAATAACATTTTCATTATTATTTATTACTTAATATGATTTATAGTTTAAATTTTTTTCACGGTGGAAGACAGAAATTATAAATTACTAATTACTAATTAAGCACAATCAAAGATAAACTGCAATATTATTACAAAATAGAGATAAGTTAAAATCAATTTACCATTTGCAAGGAGAAGGTTATAAATGATGTTAATGAAGTACCAGATATTAAGTTGTCACTAAGAGAAGTAGCTAAACTGTTTTCTGGAGGCCAAGGCTACTATGCCGCTGCACTTGTGGTCAAAAATGTGAAACAAATAGATGCAAATTTAAAGTTCTGGAATTCTATGCAACTCTAATAAATGCTGTAATAGTAATAGGTACTTTTGTCTTATAATTTTTTCAAAGTAAATAGTTTCAATATACAATAATCAATAAATATAAATAAAACATTCTCCTTTTTATTAAAAATAAAATTATCTATACGGTAAAACCTCTCTATAACAGACCCTCTATATTATATTAAACGGAATCCTCATCCGTATAACGGAAAATGTCAATAGTTTCAGGGTAAATATTATATGCAATTCTATCTCTCTGCTATGACGGAAAACTCTCTATAACGAAAAAATGTTTGTTCCCATGCGATTCCGTTATAGAGAGGTTTCACTGTATATTACATCAATAATAAATGTATTTTATTCACTTGGCACTTTCAATACTTGTCATTGTATACAATCTCTGGCTTATATGTTATTTACAATGACCATTTATTCACTTGGACCGTAACACAATATACAAACGATATAATCGTGAATTCRTACCACTTACAACTTTACAAGTTACAAAGCATCGGTCCAAAACCCAGCCAAWAACAGCGACCCGCTGTCTTTAGGACAATTATAGACCACTGGGCCAGTCTTGAAATTCGACGTGTTCACTATATAGGTATTCACAATTTATTTAATTAAAAAAAATTTCAATTGTTATGTCTAGTGTAGGTTATACTAGAAACATAGTGAATAAACGTACATGCAGTACCTATAGTCAGTGTTGTCGTGTTGAATCCAGACAATTTTTCTGGGGAGGGGCTCACTTTTTTTTTCATTGGTGAATGGTGATACGTCATTTTAGTATTATGAATTATATCTATCAATAGGTAGTTATTCTTATTACAATTTAT